ATCAAACGGCTGCATCCCTGAGGACACAGCCCTAGAGTCCCGCTCTGAGGACCAGGCCCACCAGCCCCTACATCCCGCCCAGGCCCAGGTCGGGAGGAAGGGAGACTTGCCTCCAAGCGGAGCCGCAAAGCAGCATCCCACGCCCACTGCACAGGCCGACACCAGGAGGTCAAGCTGGCCAGGCGTGGCCTGCAACAAAGGGCGAGCGCGGGTGGGCAGGGCACCATGGACAGATGGGGAGGGTCAGGGACCACAACAGGGGGCATGGCGGGCAGGGACAGCATGGACGGACAGACAGGGTCAGGGACCACAGACAGGGTGGTACAGAGGGGGGCAGCACGGACAGACAGGGTCAGGGACCGCAACAGGCGGGCACGGGGACACGAGGTCAGGAGGTGACACGGCGCAGGGAGAGCACTGGACACCAGCACAGGTCAACGAGGGCGGGAGTGGCGGCTGCAGCGAGGAAGCGTGCAGTGCCTGCCTCAGCGTCGCGCCCAGCCGAGCCAAGGCCACCCGTGCACACAGCGCCCCACTCACTCTCCTCTCAGCCTTACCTCATACACCCCACAGAACACGGACATGAACTTGCTGAGGACAGCAGCACAGATACTGGCGATGTGCACAAAGGGGCCCTGGGCATGGGGAGGTCATGGCTCAGAATGGAGACCAGGCAGCATGACCCCTACCACACCCTGCTCCAGGCACTGGAAAGGGGGCGCACGGCTCAGCATGGAGACCAGGTGGTAGGGCCCCCACCACGCCCTGCACCAGGCCCAGGTCAGGACTGAGACCAGGAAGTGGGACCCCCACTATGCCCTGCAGTAGGCACTAGAGAGGGGGCGCACGGCTCAGCATGGAGACCACATGGTAGGACCCCACCATGCCCTGCACCAGGCCTGGCTCAGGACAGAGACCAGGAAGTGGGACCCCCACTACGCCCTGCACTAGGCACTGGAGAGGGGGCGCACGGCTCAGCATGGAGTCCAGGTAGCGTGACTCCCACCACACCCTATGCCAGGCCCAGCTCAGGACAGGGACCATGCGGTGAGGCCCCCCACTATGTCCCACGCTAGGCCCAGCTCAGGACAGAGACCAGGCGGTGGGTCCCCACCACGCCCTGCATTAGGCCCTGGAGAGGGGGCACATGGCTCACGACAGAGACCAGGTGGTGGGGCCCTGATGGGGCGATGTACTTCTGTAAAGATGTACGGCCTCGGGAACCCAATGGGGATCGCTATGAGT